TGGAAGACCCACACCAGCCATTGTTTTCTTTAATTCTTTCAGTATGGTAATTTAGAGAATCTTATTTGAGAATTAAATATGTATAAATTGATATTTTAAAAGTTGTATAATATTTTCCTGTTATTTTGAAAGTGAGTTAAATTTGTTTAATTTGGCTTTAGAATAAAACTATTGTTTCTACCTGTGTAATTTCTCCAGGGTGCAAAAAACAGACTTGGAACAAGCACTAGATGTTAACCAACACGTTGATAGTACAGTCATGTTAGATGAAGATGAAGAAAATTTCCAAAAAGCACTTGCACTAAGTAGACAGGAAATTGATATGGAAGATGAAGAAGCAGATCTCCGGAGGGCTATTCAGCTTAGTATGCAAGGTAAAACCTTATATTTTGATTTAAAAATTAATTGATATGCTGTATGTTTAATCTTATTCAATCGTAATACAACAAAGCAATAAAACTACACTGAAGTGCTTTTTTGCTTTTTTTTTTTTGCCTTTGAGTCAGTGTTGACTCCTGGCGACTGCCTGGACTAGTACCAGCAGTTTCTTGGCAAGATTTTGGATGTGGTTTGCCATTGCCTTCTTCCTAGGGCTGAGAGACAGTGACTGGCTGAAGGTCACCCACCTAAGATGGGACTAGAACTCCCAATTCCCTGGTTTCTGGCCGGATTTATTTATATATCAAATTTGTCACCACCCATCTTGTTAAAAAGCAACTCTGGGCTGTGCCTTAACCACTACATCAAACTGGCTGTCTCACTGAAAGATTATATACCTTTAAAATGTCCTAATCAGTAACATATACACACTTTAAAAATGAGTTGGAAGAATTGCTTTAGACTTAGCACAACTGCTAAGTCCAAAGCATTTATTCCAAATCATTTTCAAACCATGCACAGCCCTAGTAAATAACAGTATTTTATATAGAGATGTGCTTTGGATTTAGTTAGATCCTAAGTTAAATCAAGTTGTTTCAGAGAAATTTTTTCTCTAGAGCAGTGTGGGATTCTTTCTGAAGTGATCAAATGTAAGCATTTATTACATTTATTACTTATTAGCTTAAGTAATGATTTGACACTTTGGTGAAGAAGGCAAATAGAGTATCTGCAAAAAATTGTTTCTTTCCTTCTACTTTCACATACATAGGAAAGTGTGAGCAAAGTTGAATGATAAGGAACGGTTTACCAGAGCTCTGCAGTTAGAGTGCTTTGGTGGTAAAGTGGTGTTGGGTATCAAAATTAGCTTCTTTCTCTTTCTGTCCCATCAAAGCAGAAACAAGAAGAGTAATCTTGATGTTTCCTCTTAGTTCAATAACTGAATTCTGAGGTTTAAAATAGTGTGTCTCACATTAATATAGAAAGTGCCAGCTTTGCAAGACTGTTTTTAGGGAGTTATCTAAAAGATTTACTATCTCTGCCTTTCTATCTGCCTTATGCCAGGCTGAAATTCCTGGCCCTGACAAAGGTCCTCCTAAGGGCATGCTAACTCAGGAGCTAAGCATAGTTGCACATGTCTTTCAAAATTACAATACCACTTCAACTCATCCATCCATCACAAACATCAGTCACCTTTTTTTGCTGTGTAAAGATAGTTTAAAATAGTATATTCCAAGAGAATTGGTGTGGTGTAGTGGTTAAAGTGTTGATATACAAACAGAGAGAGCCAGTTTCTAGTCCACTCTCAATCATGGAAGCTCACTGGGGACCTTTGGGCCAGACATACTTTCTCAGCCCAGCCCAGCCTACTTCTCAGGATTGTTGTTGGGAAAATAGGTATTGTACTGTGCTTAGATATAATTGCATATCAATATACAGGTAGTCCTTGCTTAATGACCATTCATTTAATGACCATTCAAAGTTACAACAGTGCTAAAAGCTACTTACAGCCGATCCTCACACTTACGACTATCACAGTGTCCCTGCAGTCACGTGATTGCGACCTGGATGCTTGGCAACCAGCTCGTACCTACAAAGGTTGCAGTTTCCCAGGTTTGTGACCTTCCCAGCCAGCTTCCAGCAAACAAATTCAGTAGGGAACCACATGATTCACTTAACGACTGCATGATTTGCTTAATGACTGCTGCAAAAATATCATAAAATTGGGTGCAGTCACATGATGCCTTGCTTAATGACCACCCCGCTTAACGATGAATTTTCCAGTCCCTATTGTAGTCATTAAGCAAGGACTACATTAAGTGAATATCGGATAAAAATACTAAATGCTAAGATACAAGTGCAGATATTTTACATGCAACTGTTTTAAGTAGCTAGAATTACCAAGACTGTTGCCGTAGCTTTACACTTGCCTTCCTATAAATTGAAATTATAAGAAAATGTGTGTGTGGAAATACGAATCTGCTATTGACTAATTTTGAGCAGTCTTCCTCTATCTCATGTTAATCTTGCTCATATAAAATATACTGATAGTCTCCAAATTTAAAATATGCATTGCTGTTTATTATAGGACTTGAAGATTATTTGAAACATTAAGCTGGTAGCCCAGCTACTAAGTAGGATTATATTAAGTTAATAATGAAATACAGTGATATTAAAAGAACAGACTACTAGTACATGCATGGGATCACAGGTGAAAGTGTTCATTTTGAGCTTCCATTTATTCAGTAGCCAGGATGAGAGCCAGGATCATGTTGTGATTTGAGGAATGTCCTCCTTTAGCAAATCTAGCCGGCACCAGCCTTTTTATTGCCAGCAATGGAGGAAACCAATCTTGGTTGTTTTTCTTTTTACACTTTAAAGTATGGTTGATGGCAGTTGCTTTTGTTGATATGTTTTTATTTTAGATTTTTATATTGTTCCTTGTTATTGCTGTTTAATTATTTTATTGTATCATTATTATTGTACAAATTTGTATTGTAAACTGTTTTTACTTTATCAGAAACATAGTTATTTTATAAAAAACATAGTAAATATCCCTGTCAACTTAACCTTCCCAATAAGTGGGTGTGTGTGAATTTTAGGAGAACATCGAAGTGGCTTCTCAGATTATTGCCCACAGAACATTCCACATTCATCTGCAACAGGCCAAACTGAATCTCTCCCATCAGAAGAATTGCGGCGGCGAAGACAGGCCTATTTTGAAAAGTAATGTAAACTGTGTAAAGCATCATTTGTGGGTGGCAAGCCCCAGAAGCCTTTATTAAGCGATATTACTTTCTTACTTGGTGTTTTTCAGGTGTTTTGGATTATAGTTCCCATTTTCATGAACACTGACCATGCTGGTTGGAACATGGAATTGTAGTCCAAAGTACTAGGAGAGTGCTGGGTTGTTTTTTTCTGAATTAACTCGTACCAGTGTTTAACTGGTGTTTAAACTCCTGAACCACTTACTCAGTTTTGCAAATATCTTGATTCTTTTGGCTTGATATTATAGTACAAGACTGAGGCACCATGCTGGCTGCAGATAGCAGGACTTCCGTTCTTGGGCAAATCACGCTACCTACGTAACTAATTCATTGGTCAGTTATATAGATGTTCCAGTTTGAAATGCAAGTGAATGTATGATGCTTTATCATGATCACATAAATCTTTTTATTTAGGGCAATGTAAATTATGAACCAGTAGCAATTAGATAATTTCTCTCTATTCCCATATTTTTGTGTTCATTCATTCATTCATTCATTCTTGGCAAACTTCATGTTTTCTTGTTCAAAAGAGTGGTAGCAGTGTTACTATTTTTAACTGAAAATGCTATACTGCCTGCCTCTTGATATCATTGTTTTTAGTGCTTCTTTTTAATAAGACTTTATTTCACAAGCATATTACTACAGTATGTCTGATTTCTCTTTTGGCTTGTTCTAGACTATAAATTAACCTGGATATGGTACCAAAATACATCTCCTGTTTTTATTATGTATTGATAAAATATATTCATTAGCAATTGGTACTCTTATAATCCATATCTATTTTGTGCTTATAAATATACATATTTTGTAATTATCTTTTTCATTTTTATTTTGAAGAATGTATGTTGCATCAATTCAAGGAAAGTAATAACTGACAGTGCATCTTCTGGAAACAGGGAGACTTAATTTCCTCTAATAATCATCACTATAATTGTTGTCCAGAAGCACATTCTAGTAATGTGCCAAACTCCATATTTTATTTATTTTTTATTTTATTGTTAAATTTGTATGCTGCCCATCTCCCCCCAATATCCTGGTCAGAGAACTTTCAGGTGTTCCTGGGAATGTTTTTTGTTTCCTTTTTTCCCCTAGAATGCACTGGTTTAGCCTTTTTAGGGATGGTTTGTCTTCTGGCTCTGGAATTGGAAGTGATTCCCAGTATTTTCTGAACATACTCTCATCTCAAAATATTGTAGTGTTGTATGTTCTGTGTTAGGAGAAAAATGAAACCTAGGAGAAAACACCAAAATGTGGACTATGTCAACACTTGATAGTAAGCTTGTTGGCTAATACTCTGGGATCAGTACACTGTAGCCATTTACACCTATCCAATCAATTTTTTTAGAATTGGATATTTTAAACATTACATATATTTATGTATCTAATTGGTAAATTGAATTATATTGCTCCAGCTTCCTGTACTCTGAACCTTTCAAATATTACTCCATTATTAGGAAAAATTAAGTTGGATGAGGAAAGGCAAGGGGCATAGAGTTACAGACTTTTCTAAATATAATAAAAATTAATGCTGCATGTTTCTCTCTTTGATTGGTTGATTCTTTTAGACAGCAGCAGCTACAACAGCAAGTTCAGATTCCACAATTCCATGATGAACGAGCTACAAGTTCAAACACACTAGTTAATGACACAGGTAGTGCTTTTATTTGACACATTTTGACACATTTTTTCCAGTTATTCTTCCCATCAGATAAAGAGCCAAGGATATCTTTAACTTTGTTTAATACATTTTACAAATCTCTTATTAGCTTTCAGTATCATTGACTAGGATATCCTTTTGGGAAATGCTGTCTGAAATTTAGACAGCTTATTTCAAGAGGCACTTCTGCTCTGCCCTGTGGGAGTTCCATTTTAGTTCCCAAAATGCTATTTTGTCCTCAGTGTTTTATTTTGTACATCTTCATTATAGAGGTTATATAGAGAACAGTGTGTGATTCATGCCCAGTTCTGTCCTTTCTCATCAAATACAAGCATGGCAACACTTGTTCTGAACTGATGCTTGAACTCAGTAACAGATGGGGTGACAACTAATAAACTGGGAAGAATCTGTTCAGTCTGTTCTAAATGGGATCACCCCTCTTGATTAGATTTGTAACTTGGGCATGTTCATAGAGTCAGTTCTAAGCCTGAGGGTCTCAGTGCCATGGTGTAAATGCACACTAGCTGCCATCCTATTCGGGTGTCATAGATACCTAAGTTCCATTAGCCATTCATTGAAAGTCTGTTGCTGGAGCTTTGCAATGCATTGTATATGGGACTAACCTTAGAAAACTCCAGTTTGTGCAGAATGCACATTGGAAGTGCCCATTTTGAATGTTATCACTCTAATGTTGTGTTAACCACAGGGGTGGCTGGTATTTTTTCTGCAGTTCAGTTCATATTCACCTTTAAAGCAGTAAAAGGCTTGGGAACAGATTACCAGAAGCAGCATATATATTCTGTTTGGAGGATCTTTTCTGGGTATTATCCAGAGAATGAATAATGAACTAGAATGAATAACTAACTAGGCTCATGAGCCATTGTGGTATAGTACTTAAAATGATGGACTGAGACTAGAAAGAATCACATTTAAGTCCTCACTGATAACAATATGGCCATTTTCTTTTAGCCCAGCAGGAAATGTGGGCTATAAATGTAATAGAATAAATAAAATATTTTCTTTCTTTTAGAATTTATATCAGCTTTATTATTGTTTTTGTTGTTTGGTTTGGTTTACAGTTTTGAACTGTTCTGAAAACGTGCTAGTTCTGCAGTAGATGTACAAACTAAATATGCTTTAAGGGTTTTATATTTTTCTAACTTGGAGCTTTTTCTCATAACTCAATATTTGCTATAGCAGTTGAAAGAGTGATATGAAGCATTCCTTCCTTCTCCTTTGTATTGTATTTGTAGAATCAGCTAAATGAGGTCTATCTTATTCTACTTGTTATATCAGCTTTCATCCACTTTGTCAATCTCCTGATCTATTAAACCACAGCTGTCATTGTATCTAGCCAGTGTGGCCATTGGAAATTGTATCTAGAAATATTAGAGTTGTATCCGATGCATCTATAAGGCATCAAGTTGGTAGTAATGCTTATACATGCACTTCAGTGTATACTGATCAGTTAAATTCAGCATCAGTCTATGCGATGACTTAAACATTAATGCTATTTGGTAAAAGCTAATAAAGCATTCAGATGTAGCTCAAAAAATCCAAATAGAGTCAATAGAGAAGGACATCTATTAACTGTGGTTCAAGGCTTCCTAAACCCCACATCCTAATTTATTTTCTTGACTAATATTAAGCCAGGGTTTTCCTGTTGAGAGGAATCTGTGGTTGAATGCAATCTTCAGTCTTCTCTCTGAACCTACGAGCAAGAGGAGAGAAGGAAAAAAAGCAAGGGGAAAGTCATGACCCCAGTCCTCTTTACCAATATCCTAAACCAGCAGTGGAGAACTGGATTTAGTTCTAAGTAAATCCAGCCTCCTACCTGACCTGGGAGACCATATGACATTGCAGAGGTTTAATTGACATCAGTCTGTCAGATCATTTATGCTTTGAGTCTTAACTCCATTCTCTTTAAAAGGGGGCACAGGTAAAGTGGATCTGATCCTGCTTATACTCCAGCATGATTGCTAGCAGAAAGTGGGGCAACAATTAATAGGTCTTTGGGGAATTGCTGGATAGGCCAGCCTGGCAGCAAGAAGTTCCCCACTCCTGTCTTGCACTAGTAGCTTTGGGCATCTGAATTAGATCATTTTCTGTCTTTTTAAATGACTGATGTTCTAGAACCTAATGTATTTTATTTTCTTATTTCTTCTCAGGAGTTGATATGAGTGAAAATGATATGCTTCAAGCCGCTATGAATATGTCCTTGGAAACCGTTAGAAACAGCTTGAATACAGAAGAAAAGAAATGACAAATACTTGTATTTATTCTAATCTGAACACTACATTCTGTATTAATTCTGTGTGGGTGGCATAAAGGTAGGGTTCATTTCATTGATGTACCAAAGCAAGATACAATCTTGAAATTTCAGGCTAAGGATCAGAATTAAAAGACAATTTGCTTATTATAAATAAAATCTCATTAGTTTATAGTTATACTGTTGACCTTATGGGTAGTTCTAATTCAATCAGAAGAACTGTACATGAGAAAAGGGGTATGAATATACCATAAAATCTCATCCAATATTTTCCTGATCCATAGATAGATCTTTGTATGGGGAACAGCCCTCTCAGTTCTTGTAGATTTTGTTCTTAACAGCAAGACCAGACACTCACATGATTATGCAACAAGGCCTTGGAACTTTGCTAAATAAGATTATGTGACATCTAAAACTTTGTAGTTTCACATATATGCTCAAAGGCATTCTAAGTACCATGTTTAGAGTGCACTTCCAAGGTTCCAGAATAACAGGCTGAATACAATACAAATCACCTTTCACTTTTGAGAGATATTTGAATTACATTATAAATCAGCAGTACTAATATTTGTTATCCTTTCAAATAAGAACCACTTATAATCCATCTGATTTAATGTTTTATTAATATTTACAAAAAGGTCTCTTTAATTCCAGAATATAATCAGTTAACAACATTTTGACTAAGAATAGCAAGAGATTTGCAGACCATCAAGCCTATTTTGGAAGACTTTAAACCATATAGATAATGATAGAGTGTTATAAACATCATCATGAAATGGAACATCCTGCTTTTCTTCTCCTGCTCCTCCAGATCTGCTTCAAAGCATTCCAATCTTCCAAAGCTGATTTGATGGGCACACAGGAGGAACCCACTCCAATAGCAGACTCAAGACTTATTCCTTTTTTTGCTCTAGAGAAGAAAAATGCCTTTAGTATTCTTTACTAAATGTTGGGCAATCCTGGCTATGATGCACTGATCTAGCATATATATTCAGCCAACACCTAGAATCTGATTAACTGAGGTCAAAATGATGGATATAGTTGATAAATGTTACTGTAATTCTTATTTCAGCTCGATATTAATATTTTATTTTATCCTCTCCTGTTGGATATTTTTATAACTATTAATACTAGCAAGCTGAACATAAGTTGTGTTGTACTGAGTCAACCTATTGGTCCATTTAGGTTAGAACTATCTACTCTGATTGGCAGTGATTCTCCAGTGTCTCAAGCAAGAATCTGGTCCCTGAATTGCTTTTAATGGGACATACTTGGAATTAAACCTGGGACTTCTGCATGCAAAGCATGTGCTCTGCCACTGAGCTATATTCTTTCCAAAATTCCAGATTAATTTTGGAATGAGGAAATTAAGGAAAGATTTTGATGCCATGACTTCAGTGCCACATTATTAACGTGCACAACTACCATCTGAAGTGAACCCCACACGGTTACTTATGTGTTAAAAATGGATATACATAAATGAATGTGTATGAGTATGTATTTTATCAGATGTTAATGAATGTCTTCTTGTAACAGATTTGCAGCTTATCATGAATGGTCTTCATTCATGCACCTTACTGTTTATTCTGTTTCTGTTACCAAGGGAAACTGGGAAGCAAATTCTGTAAGCTAGTTTTATTCTAATAGTGGAATATACATTTGATATAAAAATTATTATTGCAGGATGACTGAATTTGGCATTCTGTATTAGAAAATAGTTTTCTTTTTTGTAAATGGTGCTTTAAGCATATATTCTGTTTACATATACATATTAAGACTATAGTTTTGGATACAGGCTATATACTCATTAAACCTATGGGCACTTGCCAGAAACACAAAAAAAATCTTGTGAAATTTATTAGATTTTGCTAATTATTTTAAAATTATTATACTGCACCATGTTGATGTGTCATCCCCTGCTACTGAATGATAAGTAACTGTATGCGGATATATGGTACTATAAAAGAATAATACAATATTAAAATTGATTTTGATAATATTTGTTTACAAAAAAATTCTTTAAGTGGATAGTTGAATATGGGAACCAAATGCCACCTTATTTTCATGCTTCATATGTTGTTGATTTCTGTGAAACTGTTGCAGAAGTAGAGGCACTGGGGTTTGGGCCAGGGATAAATACTATAAAAGTGTATCTAGCTTTGCCAGTCAATAAACTGAAGGGTAGCTATGTTTGGATCTATCTAATTTATTTATTAAGAGAAAATTAGCTTACCATATTTAATGCATGTTGTTTGGGGGGGGGGAAACAGCATTAGTTACATAAAGCTGTGTGCATTCACTTTAATTTAATTATGTTTAAACTATTACTTGAAAACAAATATATGAAAAGATGTATAGAAGCCATGAAATGAAATCATACTAGTCTGTAAAAATCATAGTTTTATTTTTTTATTACTTTTCCAATAAATTGTGTCCTTCTGGACAAGCTGAATCTAGATGGATTTAGGTCCACTTCTTTCAAATGTATCTCTGCACCAAAGCAAGATATCTTTTCAAAACATATATATACCATATAAATTATAAAGCAAACATTTGAAAAATAACTTTTCCGTATAACATGTGCACTTAGAACAAGGTGGAACTCTGCTTTAAGAGTCAGCTTGTGATAAAAAGTTGTGTGGTTTACATAGAATTAATGCAGTACCTTTTGGGAGAGATAGTTTTTAGTAATTTGGAAATGCAAGGTTCTGTTATATGGACAGTCTTGCAGAATTTAGCTTGAAAATGCTCTGAAGACCATGTGATCACAAGCTTTCTTTTTGATACTGATTACTATGTGATCATAAGCTCTTTATTTCTCTAACTGGGGATTATATTAATGGAAAGCCTTGAAAATTGTCTACCTGTAATAGTAAACATTCCTAAAAATGAAGAGTGTAGAATCCACATTTGGTGGAAGACCTGAAAGAAATGTGGATTTTATTCATAACCAAGGCCTTTTTTTTTTTTTTTTACATCCTCTCATATTAAAGTTACATTTATGGTGTTTTTTGTTTGTTTTCTTTTTTTGGTCCATCAGCATTCTAACCAGATCAATGCTCTAGAATTATTTATTTATAATGTTTATATGGCCGCCCATTTCACAAAATGACACTGGGCGGCATACAATAAAAAACCATAAATGACAATATTAAAAAACATTCCACAATTAAAACATTATCAAAAGGCTAGGAGAGAGAGCATTAGATGTTACAAACAATGTAGCCACCCCATTAAATTACCATTTCCTTGAGACTCCCAAGCCTGTTGACACAGCCAAGTTTTGAGGGACTTCCAGAAGGACATCAGGGAGACCCAGTCTTACTTTGGGGGTGGAGATGATGTTCCACAGGGCAGGAATCTCGGTTCATTACTCTACTTGCTCTCAGTCAGACTTAGGTGTTTGGGGAAAGTATGTGCTTCAGCTATAGTCCCAATCTTTTAATAAAAAAAATGTGATATGTAGGATACAACTACTTTTTGTGTAAATAAGCTATAATTTGAGGGCAAAACAAAGTCCAGCTTACCTTCAGCTTAGTGATAACTAAATGGTTTCTTTAGGAACTTTTTGAAGACATTGGTGCTTCACACACAGGAAAGAATTGGTGCTCAATATATATATTAAAAAAAGGACTTTGGTCACTGGGCCCAGGGATATGATACACTGTGTTATTGTGGCCTAAATTAGCTTCCATAAACTGACCTTGTTGGCTTCAGAAAGGCTTTCAGAACATGGCTATTCTCCTGGGCATTGGGCCCAGGAGGAGTAGAGTTCCCTTTTGGAAGGGAGCATAAATATGAGCCAGGTCAGCTGTCATTGATTGCTTATTTTTTTATCTTGGATTGCTGTTTATTGTAAGCTACCCAGAGTTGAGACAGGAATCTTCATCAAGTTCCTGGCCATATTTGGTTTGAATCATCAAATAGTAATGAGAAATAATTTTATAATCATGAAAATTGAAAAGTATCTCTTTAAGCTTCTTGTTGAAGAAACATACTTTTTCTTATGTTTTCTTATGCTTATTCATGTCCAAGCTGTTAAACTTTTTAAACCCTAGCTCTGAATTATGTACTTGCATAATGAAAAAAGCACCAAATGGGGTAATTGGGTGTAATTTGTCAGCTCGAACTCCTGTTAGGTATCAGGGCTTACATGAAGTTCTGTAAACATTCAGTGACAAAGGAAAGCAAAAATTCAGAAAATACAAAAAGGGGCAAATACTTTTTGACATAACGGTAGATTCTTTTTTTTCTACACAAAGATAATTACAGTATTTTATTGCAGGACCTGATTACTATTTTTACTTCATCTCTCTCTTCAATAAATTGTTACTACAATTAAATCTATGAAATCAGGAAGATTGTTGCCCTCATAGTTATACTGACCCCCTTCTAGTGGGCCAGTATAAAAATGTGGGCTTGTGTATGTATGTTTAGTCTTCGCTAGAGGTACGTAGTAAAGCTTTTTCAAAGAAATCCCACCTTTAGCATTAATGAGGCAAATATCCACAATTACTCCTCACCTCAGCAAGTCTTCCACTATGCATTCTTTATGGACTTATTTCCTTGATATATGTGGATGCTAAGATATTAACAGCAGTTTCAGCCTATATATTACAGAATCTTAACTATTATGTATGCCACTCAGGCTGAATTTATACAAGACTGTCAAGTGTCTAACAAGGTTAGATTTTAAACTGATGTTCTTGCTTCAACTCGAAATAGAGAAGACCCAGCAGCTATGTTTTTTGGACACTAAGAAAGCTTTTATGCACTTTTTTGTTTTGTTTTTTGGTAAGGGTTTGGGGAGGGGGGGTTGGCTTACCTGGAGTTTTCCCAAATGCTTGTGTTATATTAATACGATTTATTTAGCCCCCAAATTATGGATGGTTTTAAGTGCCATACTCAAAGTCATGAACACGGAGATCATACTGGATAGTGGTGCATACAAAAAAGAAAAAAAAATCTAGGCATCTTTGTGGTTCCCAGGATGGACTTGGGACAACAGGGTGGTGCTGGTAAGCAAGCAGACAAATAAACTATCTTAGGCTGCACCTAGGATATTGTGTCAGTTCTGGTCACTACAAACTACAGCATGTCTGCTTAGGTGGAAGTTAGAAGCATGTAGTATATTTAGCCTGGAAAAGAGAAAACTACAGAGACATATCATTGTAGATGATGGTGTGGAGTTGTTCAAAGTTGTTCCAGAAGACAGGAAAAGGAATGGGTTTAAATTACAAGGAAGAAAATTTTTCCTGGACAACAGGAATAAAAAATCTAGGTGGTTAAGGGATGGTTGACAATAGAAGAAATTGCCCTGGGAGGCAGAGAATTCTCCTTAACACAAGCGTTTAAACAGAGGCTAGACAGGCATCTTTTGGGGATACTGTATTTGTGGCTTACTTCACTGGGCAGTGGGCAGGAATAAATGGTCTCCAAGGTCCATTGTAGCCGTTACATTCTGCCACCTTTTGAAATAAATGATGGAATAAGGATTTTCTGATTTATACAGCTCAGCAGTGAATATTCATGTTCGTATATTATGCAAAATTGCACAAAGAAAACTAGTAGAAAGATTATCCTAAAAGATATACTGTATTTTATTAATTAGCTAAAGGTTTGGGGAACAGGCTAAAGCGGGAGATTGCATCTATTCTGAAGCACTGTTTTTTTTTCAGTCGTACTGGAACAGGTAAGAGCTTTTACTGTTCCTAAAAAACTGATGAAATTACAAAGGAGGGCACCCACAAATACTTTGGGATACCTTGTAATCCACCACGCAATAGATCACATCTGTCTACACTAGGGAAAGTCTTAGGATTTATCGGCAAAGAATAGGAATCCAGTTGCACGCCGAGTTGGGAATAAGCCACAGGTAAACTGATTTCCAAGACTGGTGCTACACCACCCAAATTCTTGGAGGGAATGGGGCTGAAGCCAACTGAAATTTAAACAGCCTTCACGGTCATCCTTAAGCTGAGAGCAGGCAACCTTTCCACTCTCCCGTGTCCCGGCGGCCTTTGTTTCTTGAGACGCGTGCCCCAACGCCTACGGGGCATTCTAGCCTTTCGTGCTCTATGATGAGCCGGAAGTGTCATGGCGGCCGTTGAGGTGGCAGCTCGATCTGGAGGCCCTACAGCTGATTGAGAAACCCCGGCCGGGACGGCGGGCGGGTAGAACTGCTATGATAACAGCTTTTTTAGAACAAAAAAGTCACCTGGCAACGTGTTGCTCTTCTTTAAGCGGCTAAGCCGAGGGACGCACCCAACTTGGGTGGGGAGAAGCGGCGTCGGAGAACCCAGCTGATTGTTACCGTCCTGCTTTCTCCTTCCCGACGACTGCTGAGCATTGGCTGGGATGGCGTCGTGGCTGGGGGGTCTCGGTGCGGGATTTGGCCAGTCCCTGGTGGGACAAGTCGGAGGCAGCTTGTCGACCCTTACCGGGCAGATCTCCAGCTTCACCAAAGATATGCTGTTAGAAGGCACGGAGGAGGTGGGAGGTAAGAAAAGGCGGCGATGGGGAGGAGAGTGAAGATCAAGAGGCAAAGGGGCTGCAGTGTCCAGAAGCCCGGGGGATGACAGGTCAGAAGTTTCCGGACCGGGGCGAGGGATTCTTCCGAAAAATTCTCCAATGAGTTTGTGGAGATACTCTCCGTAAATATTACCTGTACCCCGCAGGCGGAGAATGGCGGCATATGTTTGCCTAATGTGAGGAAGACAAGGTAGAGATCTTGGACCAAATACTTCTAAAAGAGAGGAAGGCAGTTGTTTTGAACATAGGATGTTTTATTTGTTTTTAATTCAGCCTTTCTGTCTCGCCTCCCTTAACAATAACAATTCTGAATATTGCAAACAAACCAAGCAAAAGAATATCTCCAACCTGATATACTCCAAAGAACTTGGGACTGCAACTCCCAGAATTCCTACATGCTGACTGGGAATTCTGAGAGTTACTGCTTAGTATATCTGAAGATTTCAGGTTAGGGAAGGCTGCCTTTAAAACAAAGAAACAGATGGATACAGAAGCAAAGAATCAAATTTCATACCATACAATCTTGAAAAGCTTATTTAAAAAAAAGAAGGCTTGGGTGTTTACCCTGTAAACTGATGGTTTTCTTTTCGTAGGGCATTCTGCTCTCAGTCTTAGGATCCAAAGCAAAGGCTACATAGTTCAGGTGGATAAGACCATTAAATGATTACAAAGTATGGGCAGTTTAATGAAACTGAAGATTTTTTAATAAGATTCTTATTAAAAGGTTTTATAGCTTTATGTATTAAAAACATTTATTTGATCTGCACTAAGAAATAAGTATCAGTGCAACTGATAAAAATATTCAAATTGTCTTCAGGCTCTTTGTTCAAATCCTCTTTATGGATAATTCTCTTACAATAAGCATATCTTATAAGGGGAAAGATAGCAACATTATAATATAGGGAAGAAGATAGTACTGGGCATGACAAATGTATCAAAAGGTTCTTTAAAGTGTGATTGTCCATAAACTATGTCACAAAGCAGCTTTTAGAGAACCAATGACAGCGTGAAATAATTCTGACTCAAATATAAAAATAGTTGCTTGAATAAAGAGTTTTACAGATTTAAACTAAACCTGTAGTGAGTGAGCTTCCTGGAGATAATTTAATTGCTAATGATGTAAAGGTCCAAGTCCAAGACCCGTATTATAAGTTTTATTATTAAATTCAGACAAGACAACAGTATTCCACAATTTCTGTACAGATTAATGTTTTATTCCATAAGTATTGCTTTCTTTTAAGAAAAGCTGCTAATTAGTATATACTATATACAAGTTCATTCTGCACCCTAACACTATATATATAGTACATATGCTTTTCCTGCATGAGAGTGGCCTTCTTAACAATCATGTTATGTACTAATATCAGCTAGCTATTGAAAGTGATCTCTAAAGTATCATATTTTGTTATAGAACTTGTTTATTTTATTCTGAAGAAGTAAAGTTGGTTGGTTAGAAGGGCTTTTACAGGTAGTCCCTGAGTTAAGAACGCCTGGGTTACAGATGACCCATAGTTAAGAACAGAGTCTGTTGTAGCCAGATTTGAGTTAAATGCACAATGATTCGAGTTAAATACACAATGGTTCGAGTTCATTATACAATACTACTTATACAGTATTATACAATAATACTGTTCCGGCTCATCTTAAGGACAGACTTTGAGAATGGAACTCATTCTTAAACTGGGGACTACCTGTATATCCTTCTGTCTTGCCTGCTTTGGGCATACTTGGACAGTTGGTCCTATGGGCAGATGTTGTTCTTCTATAGTCTGAGTGTCACAAATATGATGGCAAGCAAGAAAAACAGTTTGGATGGGTTTGCAAGCCAAAGAGGCAGAGCTGTGAAGCAGACCAGACCATCAGCATTACAGCCCCAGATTTGAAATTAATCTAGCAGATGGGTTTAGAAAGGACCTCAGTAACCAAGTTGATGATTGATTGATTGACTGACTGACTGACTGACTGACTGACTGACTGATTGATTGATTGATTGATTGATTATGTGCCCTCAAGTTGGTTTCCACTCTTAGCAGCCATATAGAAAGACTTTCTTTAGGATAGTCTGTCTTCAGTCTGGCCTTTTTAGGTCTCTTAATAGTTCATTCATTGCTGTTGTAATCAGGTCCATCCACCTTGCTGCTGTTCATCCTCTTATTCTCTTCCTTTCCCCAATGTTATAGACTTCTCAAGGGAACTGAGTATTTGCATAATGTGTCCAAAATATTATAGCTTGAGCCTGATCATTTATACCTTGACTGAGAACTCTGGATTGATTTGTTCTATGATCCGTTTGTTTGTTCTCCTGGCTATCCATTGTATACTCAAAAGTCTTTTCCAACACCAAAGTTCAAAAGTGTCAATGCTGTTTCTGTTCTGCTTCTTCAAAAATCCAACTTTCACATCTATGGAGTGTCACAAGGAAAGACATTGTTTGCATGATTCTAATCTTTGTAGATATTGACATGTCATAGCATCTGATTATCTTTTTCAAAGTCTTGATTTATACCCTACCAAGTGCTAGTCTGTAGTGTATTTCTTGACTGATGGTTCCTTTAGTGTAGAGAGCTGATCCTAAAAAGCAGAAGCTGTCCACTATTTCAGTGTCTTCATTGTCAGTTCTAAGGCTGTTTGGTGAACCTATTGTCATTATTTTGGTCTTTTTAATTAATCATAGTCTCATTTTTTCGCTGTTCTCTTTTCATTACTAGAGCTTGCAAATTATTTGCATTTTAAGAATAATTTATTAAACTTGTATGCCGCCCAACTCTCAATGATTCTGGGTGGCTTTTCAGCTATCCGAGTTGTGTCATCAGCATAGTGCAGATTATTGATGTTTCTTTCTCCAGTTTTAAAACTATGCTCATCTTTTCCAGTTCAACTCCCTTCAATATTCAGTATATTCAGTATATAGGTTGAATAAATAAGGCGAGAGTACACAATCTTTTCTTGTTCCTTTGCCAAACTGGAGCCAGACTGTTTTGCCATGTTCTGTTTGGACTGTAGCTTTGTGCCCTGCATATATAGATTTTGCATGAAGGCAATACAGTGTTCTGGGAGTCCCATTTTCTTAAGGACATTCCCACAGGTGGACACGACTAAAAGATTTTTTGTAGTAAATGAAGCATGTTTTGATTTGGGGGGGGGGGATTTTTGGCTTTCTCATTTATCCAGCATGCCTCTGCAATAATGTATCCTCTTCCTCAATCTTTTCTAAAGCTAGTTTGAACATCTGACATTTCCCCTTCCATATAAGGACTCAAATCTACATTGAATGAGGCTAAGTATTATTTCCCTAGCATGTGAAATTAAGGATATTATGTAACAGTTTGCACAGTCTGTTAAATCCCTTTTCTTTGATATTGTATGTAAACTGACCTCTTCCAATCTTTTGGCCACTGTATCATTTGCCAATTGGAAGCCCAACTGAAATTAGTCCAAATAAACAGTATCCAGATGCATCTGAAATTGTGAGGCTGCCACCTTCTCAATTGCTTTTGCAGAAATGGGTGCTTGAAACTAGCCTATAATTACACAGGTCTTCTGAGCCAAGGAAATGTATCTTCAAGAGTGGACTTATAACTGCTTCCTTTAAGCAGGATGGAATATACCTCACCTACAAGGAGATATAGATCATCTCCCTTAACCATGGGCTGAGTCTTGCCCTGGCTGATTTAGTCATTCAGTCATAGAATTGGAAGGGGCCATTTAGACTATTGAGTCTAACCTCTGTTTCAATGCAAGAATACCAGACAGATTGCTGTCTAGCCTCCACTTAATACAAGAACTCCTCTTGTGAAAGAGGAGCCTGCCACCTTATTGGGTGTTTGGTTCCATTGTCAAACTTTCTTACTGTTAGGATGTTTTTTCTAATATCCAGCATGGGTTCTATGTCTGAACTTTGGAATGAGAAAGAACAATTCTTGACCTTATGTATGACAATCTTCAGGTATTTGAACAATGCTATCATATCCCCCCACTCAGTTGTCTTTTTCATGGTTAAATGTGCCCATCTCTTTTAACATCTTTTCGTAGGACTTAACTTCTAGTCCCCTGATCATTCTTATTGCTTTATTCTGAACCTATTATAATTTTTCTGAATTCTTTTCAAAGTAAACTGCCGAGAACTCAAGGGTGGGAGTTTGATTAAAGAAGAATACAGTGGAATAATTACTTATTGTGAGTTCCAGAATTATATTTGTTTTGGTGCATTTGCCTTTTTTCCAGCCACATCCCACTCTTGAAATCTAAAAGCAGGTCCTATCAATTTTATCTGCAAAAAATAATGAAAATTATTCAAAGTGAGCCACGGATGCTTTCAGCTTCCTAGAATTAAAGAGCAATCCCATGTTTGGTACTTGTGTTGGTATATATATACTGTATGTACTTTAAATAACAGGTTTCATCTTCATTCCCTTCCCTGCTCTTTTCAGATGCTGCAGTTGATTTTCCTGTATCTAACTCTAGTCTGAGAGACGTAGAAAGCACTCATGCAACACTGAGATCAGAGGTAGGATGTTATTTCTGAAAAACAATAGAAGCAAATAGAAAAAATAAATTTTTGTTCTTGTGCTTGGGAGCCAAAGTATATACTCAGGGTTAAATTGGATTTAGGCTATTTTTATTAAAGTTCCATTGCATTTTTTCCCCTAGAATGACAGATTGAAGAAGTTTTGTAATGATCTTGAAGAAAAGAATGAAGTAGCAGAGCTTCAGATAAAGCAACAATCCATAGATTACCGTAATCAGCTACAGCAGAAAGAGGTAAATAATCGCTAAAAAAATGCTGAACAGTATCAGTTTACCCTTTGAATTGTGGTACTGGACAGATTTTTGGGGAATTCCTTGGACCACAAGGAGAACAAATCATTCAGTAGTTGGTAAAGTAAAACCAGATTGCTTACTGAAAGCACTAATAATGAAGCTAGAGTTTAAATATCTAATGTGAAGGCAATATCACATTATCTAATATATATAATGTGAAGGCAAGAGTACTGGAGAAGACCGTGATGACTGGAAAAATAGAAGGCAATTTAAAAAAGGCCAGTAGAAGACAAGGCTGCTGTCAGATAGCCCTGGTGAAATGACATCCATCCTGTCACAAAGATTTCAAAGTGGCTGAGTGACTGAACAGCTGTTTTATCCATATTTAATTGTTTTAAATGCCAAAAATGTGGATTTGCTATTGTACTAAATTCCCATAAGGTATGCATTTTGCATTAAGTGTTTGAGATAATGTTTTGTAACATACATTTGTAGATTCAATTGTGTGCCATAATTTTGCTTAAAAGGAAATTTTCATATTCCTAATGTGAGCATCGTTGTTTTTGGTTACTAAGTAATTTTCCTTCTTTGACAAATCTTAGCATGTAATTCTTGTTCCCTTGGGTCAAAGATTTTTTTTCCATGCTGGAAGGATATAGATGAGTGCGCATACATCTTCTAACTCATATAATATGATGTCGCAAAGATACTCTCTACTTATAGGACTCATAATGCATGCACTTTTTTCTGAAGGCAGACATGCTCCTCCTCATCACCACAGGAGGAAGGTCTTCAGGCCACATAAATATCTGACTGAGATACTGCGCAAACATTGCTGTATTGTAACATCAAATCCAAATTATATGATTTATTTCACGGATTATTTCATGAAATCCATGAACTAAATAATACTTCTTCCTGATCAAAAATAATCACACAGCTGGCACCATTCAGCAATCTTGGCTTATTATGAAAAAGGTAAGCAAAGCTGAACCTGATTAGTTCTCAGATGAGAAACAACCAGGAAATTCAAGACCATAGCCTAGTCTGGGAAGCCAAAAATAAAAATCCAGAGTGCAATGGCTAGCCACTTCTGTATTGTTGACAAAAAAATGACAAGGACATGTCCATGCAGTTGGAAGAAGTTGAGCTTAACTTGAGGGATTGTCCCTTATTGTAATGAAACAGGAAAAAAGTACAGTTAATGAAATAGCTTTGATCCAATAAGAATCATTTTAGTAGCTGTTAGCTAAATTAAGTAATATTTAAAAGAGAAATTAAAATTAAAAGTTGCAGTTAACGTGGGTTGAAAGTTTTCTTTACTGAAATGTACATGTCATGATGTGTTATCGATCTAGGTGGAAATCAGCCATCTTAAAGCCAGGCAGAATGCTTTACAGGAACAACTACAGAAGATGCAGTCAGCTGCTCAGTCATCACAGTTAGGAACTGTTGTTTCTCCATCAGCCACTACATCAGCTCCTTTTGTTCCTGTAGTTAGAAATCATTCTTCTGATTTTCATGGAGATGATATGGATTTTGGAGATGTGATCTGGTCTCAACAAGAAATAAACAGATTGTCCAGTGAAATTTCTAGGCTTGAATCTGAAGTTGACCACTGGAAGCAGATTGTACAGGTGGGTCTCTTTTCTGAATAACTTAATATATAGTATTTATAGTATTTACTTTGAATTACACACATACATATGTATCTATCACACTTTCGGACTGTACAATATGATACAGAGTGCAAAAAGGGAATAAGAAATAGCCAAAGAAATTAGACTTCTGAAATACAAAAATATAGCTGAATCTTGCTTATAGTAATACCTGTCGTTACACTTTTCTATAGCTAACTATCCTTGAAAACCATTCATTGCTTTTTGCACATTAAACTTCTCATCTTTCTCTTTTTGAAGACTTCATCAACTTCATCCAACAACTTTCTTGGACTTCCCCTTCCCCTTCTTCTTGATTCATTCACTCTTCTTTCTTATATTTGTTTTGAAATCCACTCTTCCCTCATTCCCTCTGTATGTCCAAACACCTCAGCATACTACTTTCATACTGGTTACTCACTTCTGTATTCAGTCCATGTTCGTTCGTTCATTCATTCATTCATTCATTCATTCATTCATTCTTGATGCTATCTAAGTTTACCACACTCGTTTTTAAGCAACCCATTCCCTCTTTCCTTATGTCCACTTTCCATTCATTCTGTTGGGAGGTTAATCTAGTTTCTAATCCTTTTTTATTCAAGATTCATATTTTCTCTTCCTGCAATAATTCTACTTTCACTTTAGTTGCTTTTACTTCATTCTTTTTCTTTCAAGACCATTTTTTACCAAGACTCACTCTTCCCCATACCAAAAAATGGTCTGCCCTACATTTAGAACCTCTTATCCTTCTTCATTCCTTTCCAGGTGTACATATGAATAGACTTACATTTACATATTTGAAACAAACTGACATTTTTCTGAGCGTATACTGACAAGTCACCATTCTCATTCATTCTTCTCCAGTCAACCCAAACCTATTTTCTGTATTCTTACATTTCATTTTCACCCATCCGTTCATGTCAGCTAATAAAACATTTGTCCATCCAGGTCCCATTAATTCAGACTAATTAATTTGCACATTTTTTGATTCCTCCTTGATTATCAGGGTAGCATAACTCTCAACTGTCACCCAATCTATGGATTTCTACTTTCATATACACTCCCCCAACAACCTAGGGGGTGTTCATATGTATTCATATTTGCATTCATAATTAAATCTACACTTGCTCTTCTCTCCATGAATTCATCTACTCCACAAGCTCAGACCACTTTCATTCACGTCTGTGACATTGTTGATCTTTCTGTTAATTTTACAGGCATCTACTTTTCTTTCTTTCATTTCATTTGTTAGTTCATGTTCTTTACCATTTAGTCAGAATATAAGAAGTATAAGAATATAAGCCACAATCTTCCCTATAATAATAATAATCAATAATTTATTAAATTTATATGCTGCCCAACTCCCAGCAACTCTGCCACGATTGTCACCAGATGGGCCAGCCATCATGGTTTTGGTCAATCAAGGCTTTCACATAATTCATTTAGTAAGATAGATAGATATAAACTAGGTTACCATATATATAGATATATCACAATGCAGCATTCTCTGCTAATGATAAGGATGTTATCAAGTGCAATGAAAGGCCACTTTTACCCCAGCATGTTCATGTGATTCCCTGCAAGCTTGGATCTCTAATGCAGAGATTATCATGCAAGCTTATTGTTGCGCACATCACACAGCTTGAACGTATATTCTGTGTACTGGCATACAGATTAACTAGTAGGGTTACAGATAGTGTTACAAGAATTTTTTTTTTTTGAAACTAGTAAAATGTATTCTTACCTTTTCCCTTGAAATGGCAGTATGAATAAAGAGATGTATTATTAACTCCCTCATTTCTAAATCGGGGAGGCCTTACTCATGGAACTTGCATGAGTGCCACAAGTGACAGAGTTAGTGTTCTGTTTGACATTTGATTCAGAGTCCACAATCTCTGCAGGCTTATAGTGGAATGGAATGTTATTCAGTAACTATTCAGAATTCCTGCTGTCAGAAAAAAAACTGAAACATAGTTATCAATGTTGGTGTATTGTTTTATTCAGTGCACCACATTGATAAGTATGTTTCAGCTTTTTTTCTGACAGCAGGAATTCTGAATAGTTAGCTGTGTATATTTCTGTAACAGTTTTGTTTTTCAGCATAAACATGAATCATAAGTTTGCTTTTGTGAATATTGCTTTATTATGTTTAATGGGGCTGTGTGGGAGGAAAAGGCAAACTGCAAATTGCTGCACAGATAGTTGAGCTTTATCTTATAACTCACCCCGAATTATTGACTATAGCTAACATAGATGCAGTATGTATAACATAGTCATTGTGATGGGTCCTGGTGTTCAATTCACTAGACCACACTGATTGTATAGTTTCAAAGTTTTGATTTATTAAACACTGTTCAGGAATAATTTTCTAAAACCTTAAGAGCCTACCATTGTTCTTTGTTGCTGCCACATGTCATTTTTCAAACTTATTAAGCCTAAATCATTTTCAGCATTTTAAATTTCTTTTTTCCCCACCATCTTATTTAGTTTTCTAATCCACAAGGAGCAAACAGTACAGATCAGAATGAAATCTGCAAGCTGCAAAATATTATCAAGGTAAAAAAACCCAACAACCCTCTTTTCCTAACTGAGATCGCTCCTTATAGTTACTACAATTTTATGATAATCCTCTAATGCACAGATATTTATGAAGGTCTTTTGAATGAAATACTTCAATTAAAAGTGAATATGAATATAAATATTGAAAGATTTAGAAATCATGTTTCTTTATGAATTAAAGCAATGATTTGCATTATATCTTTTGAGTGCTGCTTAATAAAACAACAGGGTACAACCTCAAAATCATTCATGGATATTCCTTACTAAAAGTTCCATATTTTACCTTGTAAGCAATTCAGTCTTCAGATGTTTTGCATTGTTAGTGTATAAAAAAGCTCCATAACATTAAGTCACAAACTTTAATTTTCATTAATTGCACATTTTAGGAACTAAAACAGAAGTTGAGCCAAGAAATAGATGAGCATCAGCATGAGCTTTCAGTATTGCAAGATGCACATCGTCAGAAATTAGCAGAGATAAGCCGACGTCATAGGGAAGAACTAAGTGAATATGAAGAACGAATAGAAGAACTGGAAGATCAGTTACAGAAAGGTCTTGTTTATTTTTTAAGAGTTCTAAAAGGATTTTTTGAGAAGTTGTTACCATACTGAGCATGTTAAAAAAAGTACCAGATTTCAAGTATAACCTTCAGGTTCCTTGCTTAATTTATGAATTCTGAACTGCTGTACACCCATAATGGTTACTATGACATTTTGTAGACATAACCTTTCCAACTTACTGGTACAGTACCCTTAAGAAAAATCATAGCTATAAAATTTGTGAGACAGGAAATATTAACTGTAATTAGTGAAACGGTATGGTGAGTTAAAATTCTTGGATATATAAACATGCCTAGTCCTGGAACTGAAAATACTATACTGCCAGTGCTAGAAATATTTTTGTAGGTGAGAGTATTTTAGAGTCTTAATGCTAATATATGAACATCTGCAATAAACCAAGATTTGTCAAGATGATGAAATGTGCATTATGATATTATGACGCAAGCTTTGCCCGTTAAGTACCTAGGTATGACATTGTGACACAAATATTAAAGGGATGGAGTTTGTGTCACAACATCATGATGCACATTTTGTTTTCCCCTGCAGATGCCCATGGTTTTTCTGTTTTTAGATATTTGATACATTTGTACTGGTGATTCTTGACAAAGGTCTAAAGTGAATGAATGAATGAATGAATGAATGAATGAATGAATGAATGAATGAATGAATGAATGAATGATCTGCTGTGGGAAGAATAATATCTTCAAATATTTGTTTCTAAGCCATTTTGGAATTTTTAAAGATGACTATCAGGATCTTGATTTTGGCTCAGAACTGAATAGAAATAGTTCTGATTCTGAGAGAAGCTTACTAGATGATTTTGGACCTGTCATTCTCTCTCAGCTCAACCTACCTCACAGGGTTGCTCCATTGGGGAACAGGAGGAGGAGGAAGGGCTATGTATGCCATCTTAACTTCCTGAATTTTCATTTCAGGTGGGATATACACCAATACTGTGGGACCAGAAATGGAGAATTTTCATATTGTTCTTACATATCTTTTATTCTGTCACTTATCCCTGGATATAGTTTAGCTTGTATATCGTGTGGATTTAAGGCTGATAATGTTTTTTTTTAAATGTGGCATGATTCTACATAGGTTTGAAGTAAAGTATACTCCTACATAAATCTGGTTAGAATTATTGACTTAGAAATGATATTTCATTAATTTAACTATACAAAATAGTATAGCTGGATGGAAAAGTCCTCTTAGTTAAATACTATTTTATTTAGAAAACGTATTGCTCTTCCAGTAAAATGGTCTATCTTTAAAATGTGTATATATTGATTTTAGTTTATTGTGTGTATATGAAGTGGAGCTACTGAATGCATCTTCAGAAAAAATGTTTCATTTCAAAGCCTTTCATTTAAATTGCACAGATTTGTATATGCCTTTTAATTATTCTAAGATATCCTTTTCCTCAGTTACATTTAAGAAAATGGGGATAGCTACCCTAGCTATACAGAGGAGGAGAGGAGAGAGGAGCACAGGGGTGGCCAGTCTTGCTTTACTCATCCCTTAAGACCTTTCCAGATTTGTCTTGACCAAAGCCTTAATAACTGAGACATTCTGGGTTTCAGTTGTCCAGACTATAAGCCACCTGGAATAGTTTGGCCCAATTTTTGACCTGCAAATATGCTTGTTCTAGGCATTGAACAAAAGACATTGTCCATTTCATGCACACCCTTTCCCAATTCACTGTAATCATGTTAATGAAAACAAAAGTACTAGGGTATATATTATCTTGACAACTTTTGTACCACGAGCCTGTAAATGGCACCAACAAGGAAGATCCTTAAGTTAAACCTGGATTTTTTCATTCTGTTTGGCTGCCTGTTGCCACTAATTTCTCACTTTTTTATGCTGCCTTCATTTTGGGGGGAGAAACAGTAGGTAGGTAGGTAGGAAGGAAGGAAGGAAGGAAGGAAGGAAGGAAGGAAGGAAGGAAGGAAG